ACAGGTCTTGTTTCAGTTCCTCTTTGATACTGTAATTGGGCTTTATATAATAGTCAGCTTCGTTGCAGGCTGTGATGGCGAGTGACTTTTCTATTGCTCAGTTCCGGTACCTGGAGAGACTTCTTGTTGTACATGGGCATTGGTGCTACAAACGAATAGCTCAGATGGTAATGATTATACATCTGTTTCATTTTATAGATAGATGATGAAATATATGTGGCTGGTAACATCAAATGCACTAAAGCATATTCAAATATAATTATTTTTGTGATTCTAGCTGGATCCTGCACATATATTTTTCTGATTTGCGCCGTAATCTTGTGCATTTTCAGATATGCTATTTCTTCTACAAAAACATCTGCTTTGGCCTCACACTCTTTTACTTTGAGGCTTTTGCTGGCTTTTCGGGGCAGTCTGTCTATGATGATTCATATATGATGCTGTTCAACGTCATTCTTACGTCATTGCCTGTAATTGCCCTTGGAGTATTCGAGCAGGATGTACCTTCTGATGTTTGTTTAAAGGTGAATATCTTCTCCTCTTAGTTTCTAAAAAATCGCCCATCCTTGTTCCCTCCGAAAAGAGTTCATGTCTGCTAAATTGTTCTGCAGTTTCCAGCTCTGTACCAACAAGGTCCCAAAAACTTGTTCTTTGACTGGCACAGAATACTCGGGTGGCTTGGCAATGGTATCTACACGTCCCTCATCATTTTCTTCCTCAACATTATCCTCTTTTACGATCAAGCCTTCCGTTCTGATGGTCAGACAGCTGACTTGACTGCTCTGGGCACTACAATGTTTACGTGTGTCATATGGGCTGTCAACTGCCAGATTGCACTTACAATGAGCCATTTCACATGGATACAACATATTCTTATTTGGGGAAGCATTGCTACTTGGTACATAGTCCTCTTGATCTACGGAAGGATAGCACCAATCTATTCTAAGTACGCGTTCAGAATACTGGAGGAGGCTCTAGCTCCTGCTCCAATCTACTGGTGCACTACTTTTTTAGTAACTTTGATGTGCACTCTGCCATACTTAGCTCACATTGCATTTCAAAGATCATTTAATCCGTTGGATCATCACATCATTCAAGAAATCAAATATTATAGGAAAGACGTTGAAGATCGTCATATGTGGAAGAGAGAAGGATCTAAAGCAAGACAGAAGACTAAGATTGGGTTCACAGCCAGAGTAGACGCGAAAATTCGACAGTTGAAAGGGAGACTGCAGAAAAAGAAAGTGTAACTTGTGTAAAGGTTGATTTTCTTTTTTACTAACTTCTTTTTTTCCCCTTTCAAGTACTAACAGAAATTAGGGGGTTAGTAGGACACCTACAGTTTTTCTTCTTTAACTCATTTGTAAAATTCTTTTTTTGTGTCCCAGTATATAGTGAGCAATCAAATGAGGTACAATTCATTGGTTCCCTAGTATACTGTGGCATGATGATGTATTGTACAATATTTACTAATATTTAGGGAAGGAAACTAATACATATATAATTTCTCTTGTGAGTTTGCTTTTTGTGTAGGACACTAACCAAATACTATTGAATGTTTCACATATAATTTCTCTTGTAGTTTTTTTCTCTTTTGAGTTTGGTTATTATCTACTATGTTTTTTTTACACTTCTATTATTGTTTTAGCTTATTATGACTATTGTTGTTTAAGATGATTTGATAGGGGTATGACTATGATATTGTGTAACGACTATCTCCATTTTTATATTTCTATCTCTATATTGTTTTGGTTTATAGCTGAGGGTCTATTAGAAATAACCTATCTATCTCTAAGGCAGTGGTAAGATTTGCGTACAGTTTTACAAATCTCACTTTTGTGATTACATTGAATATGTTGTTATTGTTATTTTCCCTGAGAAAAATAATTCAATTTTGTTTTAAAAATCATACATGAGAAGGCTAAAAAAACATATTTTGGCAATCATTTTTACAGCAGCACTCATATTTTGTGCTTCCTGTGTGAATGCCTGCAAGTCAAAAGAATACACTCATAATGGAATTAGTTGAAGCTAAAGAGAACTTATGTAACTTTACTAACTGATATACCAATTAAATACAAAATTGATACATTTCATATACAAATAATATATAAAGTGATGTCACAGATAGGATAAATTTGAAAAAAAATTCAGAAATAGCAAACAGGGTAAGTATATACAAATTTTGTATTTATACATTTAGGAGTTTTTCAGAACTCCGTTTGTATATTTCACTTGCCAATATACAAACATGGTAATTTATTATGAACTTTTCATAAATCGTATACAAATCGTTAGGGTAAGCATATACAAAATTCTGGATATATACAATCAGGAACCGAATTATACAAATTATGGATTTATACAAATTATGCGAATTATGCAAATCAGGCTAATACAAAATTGAGCAAAACTATAGTTGTGAATTAAAATTTCCCTAAACAGTAACTATAACATTTAATATGATTTAATTATTTGTTATTCTGCACATTTTCCCCATAAATATATAATTTTACTGACTGATACACAAATCAAATACAAGTCTAATACAATTTGAATATACACACTTATATATACTATATAAAATGAAGATAAAGACAAAACACCTATATATAAAATGTACTAATTGATTCACAAATCTAATACAGTTTGAATACAGTACTAATATATAAATGAATCTAAATAATAAAATACATATTTAATCTAAATATTTAAATATAATATAATATTTCATTTGAATATGACACATATAATATATATTCACATTTAAATGACATATAAATAAGACACATTTTCTGTGAAATTATCATACATTATACATATATATATTCATTATAAATTATTTATCTTGAACTATATAATCTTCTTATATGGATTGTGGAGTGATAGGAAATTGTTGATTTAATTAAGAGTTAGTACTTCAATTTTAAGCAATTTTTAAATATATACAGTTTATTTCAAAAAATTTAATACTTTTATATCTAAATTCATGATCAAAATTTACTCCAAATAATCCTCATAGTAAAAAATAGAGAAAAAAATAAAGAGCATCTTACCTAAAATTAAAGGTGCAAATTTTTCTTTCTTCTTTATGGAGAAGAGAGTCTTTTGAATGATAATTTCTCACTTTGTGAAGATTGTTTCGTGTATATATAATGCATATATGTGGGACCCAATATAAATTTAATTTCTTTGTTTTTAATGCCTCTTAATTTTCAGAAATTCATCACTAATTTTTAAATTAATTAATTATATTTTGATTAATACATTATTGATTGAACATAGATGAGTTCCGAGGTGTGAAGTGAGAGAGCGAGGAATGTTGATGTTCGATTTAAAATGCATATATTTAACTATTATTTGACATATAACTTTATATTTTTATCATTATTAGTGTACTAACTATATCACCTTATATTTAATATTATATATATTTAATATGTAGGACAAAAACGATATAAAGATGAAGAATTCCAAAGAAAAAAAGATACAATTATGTAAATTTGAGAATTTTCTTAATAATTCAAGAAGTGACAGAAGTCTAGGCCAGTTTTTATTCTAATTTCTCTAGGAATGAGTCCTTAACTTTATGTATAAAAGTCCAAATTTAATAAGAGAAATTTTGAAGCGATGAAAACTAGACTTTTAAGATCTTTCATTTGATAATTAGTAATTCACCATATAACTCTTTTACATCTTAATAAATGTGATTTTTTGAAATCAAGTCTTGTACTAGCTAATCTAAAATTTTATTCTATCATATAGCTTCCAATTTGGTTTGGTTCTAAGATTTTCCTTACATGTCTATATGAATGTGATATGATATTAATTAATATGCAATCTCTTTTGATCTGCAGTGGAATTTCACTAAATATATTATAGTTGTCCCGTAAAATATTATGTCTAACAAAATTTTATTTAGGACTATTTGAGTGGATATAATTAACAAACGATGCTTTGACTTTTTTTTGTAGTAAAGGTACGTACGTTCACTTAATGTGTAAACATTAGGATGAAAATGCAAAGCAAATGGACATATTTGTGTGTTGTAGCTTTCATATGAAATTTCCATGTAAATTTCGTGCAAGGACTTTAGAAAACAATAATATTTCCATTTCTATTTTCATAGTTGCCATTGTTGAATTTAATGTACTACTAGTGAATGTGTCCATTCAGAAAAATTGACCCTCAATTTTAAAATTTAGAGTGAATATGACTCGTTAAAGAAATGATGCATATATATTAATTTCATTTAATAAATAATGCATATTTACTTTTTTTTGTTAGCAAATTTAATTTGAAAACGACATGTGGTTTTTAAAAATTGTCTTGCCCTAACTCAGTCCGCCAGTTATAAAATGAATTTTGGTCGCATCTGAATAAAAGAGGGATTGCACTTTTTTAATTGGGTTGGGTCTAGAGGTGTTAAAATATGAGTGAGGTAATTTTAAATGGCATAATACATAAATATGCTCTTTAACTTAATCTTATTTTATATTTATGCTCTTCAACTTTAGGTGTGCATAAATAGACGCTTAAACTTGTATAAAGTTGAATTAATAGACACAAGCATCCTACGTGACCTCCTACATGACAATTTGTGTACTATATGGTGTCCTGCGTGTATTATGCCACATATGACTCATGTGTATACTTGTTCAACTTTATACAAGTTTAAGTGTCTACTTGTGCACAACCAAAGTTAAAGGACATAGATGCCAGTTAAGGCTAAGTTAACTTACAAGTTTATGTATTATGTCAAAAAAATATTAAGGTAACTCCGCAATTACACCAACTCAGTCGTTATACAAAATGAGTCTTTTCGTCGTTAGCTAAGGATGAAATTAAACGAGATAAGATAATAAAATTTAAGTAACAATCAAAACAAATATTGTATTTAAACAAACATCATAGATAACAACAACCATCCAAACAAGTGTTAAGAATTACTACTCCATACTTACCCTTAAGACATATGAAGTATAAAACTCTCAGTTTGGTTTATATAGAGAGAGAGAGACAGAATTGACAGAGTAAACAAAACTTCAAATTCAATTTTCCGATGGACTTTATCCGATTGCTGCCGGAGGGTTGTGTTTCTGATATCCTCTCCTTCACTTCTCCGAAGGATGCTGCGATTTCCTCTGCAATTTCCCGAGGATTCAACTCCGCTGCTGAATCGGACCTTCTCTGGGAAAAGTTTTTGCCGGAGGATTACGAAGATATTAGCTCGAGATATGTCTCTCAACGGATTTGTTCGTCGAAAAAAGAGCTTTACTTTAGTCTCTGTGACTCCCCTGTTCTAATGGATGGAGGCAGATTGGTATGTATTCCATTTCTAATGTGTGAATATATTAGAATGGGAAATAACTTTTTTTATGATTATAAGAAAGAAATTTTAGCTAATTTTCTAATGTGCTATGTATCTGAGATTATTATTTTATTTTTGAAAACAGAGCTTTTCACTTGATAAGAAAACAGGCAAAAAGTGTTTTATGATATCAGCAAGAGAACTTGTTATTTCATGGGGAGTTGATACACCATGGTATTGGGAATGGACTTCTCACCCCGACTCCAGGTTCTTCTATTTTACTCTCTTCATTTTCACTTTTTTTTTTTTTTTTTTGGTAAAACGAGTTTAAGTTATATATATTGTTGGCATGACTCATGAGCTATCCGTTCATAAAAAGAGTGCATATCAAAGGATATATCTATGTATGTTAGATGTTGAATTTCCTAAGTTGTATTGCGTGGTTACTTTTTCCCCCCCGCAAATTTACCAGATAAGTGCAAGCAAAGCAATGGGGCTAGACCTTACCTTATATATAGCTTTTACTCATTAAATACAGATCTTGAGACAATACATTTTGTTTTGTAGATTTCCAGAAGTGGCTCATCTCCACACTGTATGTTGGCTTGACATACGAGGCACGATTGGAACACAAATGTTGTCAAAAAGAACCAAATATGTTGTTTATTTAGTGTTCAAATTGGCAGAGGAACATCATGGACTAGAAATTGCTTATGCATATGTTAGGTTTGTGAATCGTGTGAGCGACGAAGAAGCAGATGAAGGAGCTAGCACCCTGAGTTTAGTCGGAGAAAATGTTAGGAGACCTTACGTGAAATGTCCACAAAAAAGAGTCGATGGATGGATGGAAATAGAACTGGGAAATTTTATCAATGACATAGGAGATGATGAAGATGTTCAAGCGCGATTGATGGAGATTAAGCATCTTCATGGAAAAGGTGGTCTTATTGTTCAAGGAATTGAATTTAGACCAGAATGAGTAAAATATTGAACAATCCTATAATATGTAACTTATGTTATGTTCTTGATTTAAACTAGGGTGTGCATTTGGTTTTTCGTTTTGAAGAAGTGTAATCCAATTCGAACTAAAATAAATTTGGTTTGGTTTGGTTTTTCTCTTTTTGGTTTGGGTTTTTGTCGGTTTGGTTAATCAGTTATGTTAATAATTAGAAACATAACAAAGTTATATTTGCAATTTGAAAAAAATATATATATTATATTGAATTTCTTAAATATAATTTTTAATATAAATCATAAGTAAAACGTAAAACACAATACTTAAAAGTATATCAATTATAGATGTCCAAACATAAAAAATAAACTAAACCATAGTGAAAATAACTAAAAAGGGACAAAAGTGGTTAACCCCAAATTAATTCTAAACATATATATATATATATATATATAATTCGGTTTTTTTCGATTTTCATTTTTCTAAATTTGAAACCAAACCAAAAAACCAAACAAAGTAAATTATAAATCCAAAACCAAACCAAAAATCCAAAAAACCAATCCAAATTAGAATTCAATTTGATTTTTCAGTTTAATCCAAATAGTGCACACCCCTAATTTAAACTGTGATATTTTTATGGCTACTTTCTAACTTTACTTCAAGATTGTAGAAATGTTTCAGTGAATGAAGATGTTAAAAAGAACTAATGGTGAAATCAATGTTTGATTGAGCGAATCGAGAGGTAGAAAATATATTGTTTTCATTGCACAAATCTTATTTGATTAAGGCCAACTATTTCAGACAAGTCTATTATTAGTGAACAGATAATCAACAACTACAACATACCCCGTGAAATCCCACAAATAGAGTCTGGGGAAAGTAGAATATATGTAGACCTTATCATATTGTATCGTTTGAGATTAAACATTATTTAGTCTATAAGTAGGAATAGCCATTAAAGGATTTTCTCTGCTTGTTGCTAACCCAAAGTTCTCCTCAACATCCAAATTACAAGGCTGCATACCTTTTGGAAGCTCCCAATCAAAGCAATGCACCAGTTGTGCTACTATAAGTTGGACAATGATGATCCCCAACTGCATTCCAGGGCAACTTCTTCTGCCTGAGCCAAATGGTAAAAGTTGGAAGTCATGTCCACGAATGTCTATATTGCTCCCAACAAACCTCTCCGGCAAAAACTTTTCAGGTTCAGGCCAAATATCTGGATCCCTTTGAACAGCATAAAAGTTAATCAAGATCCGGGATCCTTTTTGTATGTGGAAGTTATTGACTATACAATCTTCCATGGCCTCGTGAGGTATTAGTGGTGCTACGGCATGCAGCCTCAGGCCCTCCTTTACAACCATGTCTAAGTAGTTCAACTTCTCCAAGTCTGATTCTTTTACCATTCTTTCAAGGCCTACCACTTCTTCTAGCTCTTTTTGGAGTTTCTTCATCACATGAGGGTGCCGAAGAAGCTCCGTTAGTATCCATTCTATAGCTGTTGCTGAAGTTCCCATTGCAGCAATTAACATATCCTGTTATACAAAGGGAAATTAGTACAAACAAACCTAATAATAGAAGTATATATATAAATGGGGGATGAAATAACGTACGAAGAGGATAGCTTTTATATGTCTACGGTCAAACTGAAATTCTGCTTCTCCTGATTGCATAATGTCCAACATGGTGTCAACAAAGTCTTTGGATTGCTTCTGGTCACCAGACTGGACATGTTCGTCGATAATCTTCTCAAGAAACTCATCAAACACCTTTGAAAGTTCCTTGAGCCGGCGAGTGAGTCCCTGGAGATCAATTACACCAAGGAAGGGGAAAAAATCTCCAAGATTTGGTGTTGCTGCTAAATGCTCAACATCATTAACAACAGCTTTGAATCCCCTCTTGTCCAAATCCTCATCCGTGTACTTCTTTCCAAACACCATCAAGCAAGTCAAGTCAGCACTCAAAGATGAAATCTTTGCACTAAGATCAACAACAGCGCGATGATGACAAGCTTCATTTTTAAGTGATTTGATCATAAGCTCAACTTGTTGCCTTCTCATGGATTGAAATGAATTGATCTTTTGGTTACTCAAAAGGTGCTGAGTGCACAATTTGCGCATGTTGCGCCAATATGGTCCATACTTTGCGGTTATCAGATTCTTCTGTCCATATGCCAAATATTGAGCTGCCTCATTATAAGGCCTACTAGCAAAGATATGATCATATGTCTTGAGGAACTTCTCCGCTGTGTACTGCAGACGAGACAACGATTGTAGGTACTAGTCCCAGTCGAACATACATAAGGGGACCATGTGTTTTTGCTAGTTTTAGGAAATCTTGGTGTGGATTTTTCCCTAACAAGTGAAGATGTCCTATAATGGGAAGCCCTTTTGGACCTGGAGGATACCTTTTCCTACTCTGGATGTTGTTTAGCAACTCATAAAAGGCATACACAATAAAAATAACAACTAGTGTTGCCCATATCAAAGCCATGCCTAATACTTACTGTTACTTACTCTTTTAGCTTCTAAAATATCTCTACTTGAAAGGGTCTAGAGATCTCAATCATATAATGGCTGGCACCATTGAAAAATCAATGCACATTTTGGTCATTGAAAAGCCAATGCACAATTTGGTCATTGAAAAATCAATGCACATTTTGGTCACTGAAAAATCAATGCACAATTTGGTCACTGAAAAATCAATGCACAACTTGGTTGTGTTTGGTAATCAGTACTGAGTAAAAGGACATAGGCCTCAGGCCCAAAATTCGAGGGGTCCCATTTTTTAACAGGAAAAGACTCAAATATGCCATAAACTGAGAAAAAGGGCATAGGCCTCAAGCCCAAAATTCGAGGGGTCCCATTTTTTAACAGGAAAAGACTCAAATATGCCATAAACTTTGAGAAAAAAACTCATCCATGCCATTATTTGTTAACTGAAAACAATTTCGGGTTTGCAAAACCATTTTTTACATGTGGTCAGTTATGATTCGGTCACACCATTAATTGAATCATTTTTTAAAGGGAAAAGGCTCAATACGCCATTGAACTTTGAGAAAAGTGTCATTTATGCCATTTGTTAAAAAATTTACTCATCTATGCCATTTTAGTAAACAAATAATGGCATGGATGATTTTTTTCCAAACAAAATAACATAGATGAACAAAACTTGTAATAGATGACACAGACGAGCCTTTTCTCAAAGTTTGATGGTATATTTGAGCCTTTTGCCTTTTAACAATAATAGATTATAAATTTTTATAAAATAAATAACATTGAGTACTATTTGTAAAAAAATGTAAACAATATATATAAAATGAAATAATTATTAAAAGCAATTTGATATTTTAAAGTACTGTTTATGTCTCGAAAGAATATTTATTAATTATATTATGATTAAAAGAAATATATTAGAATAAATCAATTATATACAAGTTATTAATAATTTTTTAAAGTTTAAAACCTTCATTTGATTTTGGCTTTTAAGTTTGAGCCGCACTAACGTTATTTGAAGGGATAAGGGTCTAAAAAATACCTCAACTTTGGTCGGATTTGCTATTGCGATACTAAACTTTCATGAGGACCTATTACCTCCCTAGACTATTTAATACCGTATTTTAAACATATATATTTGCCCACGTGGACATAAAAAATAATGCAAAAATATAAATAGTAATGTGTCCACGTGGGCACATATATACTTTTAAAATACTATTAAATAGTTTAGGGGGTAAAAAATACACTATTAAATAGTCTAGGAAGGTAATAGGTCCTCATGAAAGTTTAGTATCGCAACAACAAATTCGATCAAAATTGGGATATTTTTCAGACCCTTATCCCTTATTTGAAATCAAGTTTTGTTATCGTGGTCTTATTGATTGACTTTTTAAAAATATATGAATGTATCAAAAATTTCAAATGAAAGCTACAACTCACAAATGTACATCCTTTCACCTTTTTGTTTTTAATGTTTTTTCATTAACTTATTATCTACTTTAATAGCCAAACATCAAATGTTAGTTATTCATTCAAGTCTTCTTCTTCTATATATACTAGGTGGGGGAGGCCCGTGGCAAGCACGGGCCCAATAGTCCAAATACTATGCACGTAAAAATATAAATATTAAGGCTTTTGCAGAAGATGGATAATATGATATGTTATATACTATTAGATATATTTTGAGAATAATGTAGAACAAACATCAGTAATGATGCCGTACTTCAACGATCTGCAAATACTAACTAATATTGTAGAACCAAAATAATATAGCAGATGTTTCATTTTTGGTATATAAGATTAGCATGTCATTGTTATCATATGTAGAGGACGCCGGAGTTTGCTTCTTAGTAGCTAATCTTCTTCATTCAAAAAGCCATAGCATAGGGAGACCGATTCATTGTATTCTCCCTATTAAGCAAAAGTCACAAAATAGAGTGAGGGAGTTCCTGTAATTAGACAGTTTGAAGCTTGTGAGAAACTGAAAATTGGCAAAACATAGCAAAACAATTTAAATAGTAGCCTCCAAAGTGGGACATTTTTAGTACAGAAAGTGGAAAACAGTAAATGGAAATTTCAAAAAGAACAATACATGGTGGAATGAGGCTGACGCAATTGATGTCCAAAGGCTACGATCATATATAGCAATCAGGACAGCAGACAATTACATTTACAGAAGACAAAAGATCCAATCACACACAATAAACATTACAGTCTAACATAAAGAAATACACAACTGACAGAAGCTAGTATCAGGGATACACAAGTTTTTAGAGTCTTTGCTCAATGACTCTTACAGATTTTACAGCTAATATATTAGTGGATAGGTATGAAATAGAAAGAAAGTGATGGAATCACAATAAAAGTGATAGAGGTGTTTTTCTACTGAATAACCTTGTTAAAGTAAATGCTATGCCGTGGAACTTATACATTATATGTTGGGATCCTCTGTCAACTAAAGAATTGGTAAGTGTAGTCTTAATGCTATTGTTAAATGATCAGTAATGTAGTGTACAACTCCTATTGCATGAGAAGCTTTAAAGAAATCATGAACTTTTGATCAATAGAAGCTTTTTGGATACTTTGTGATAAATATTATCCTAACTCTGAAGTAATCAAGCTAGTCAATTTCATACTGCATACTGCTCAATTTCATCGGCATACAGAAGTGCCTTAATCTGGCATTCCTGAAAGTATGAGTTATAGAAAGGTGAGAGTAAGTAAGCTGAGATTAACTGTAACTACTTACCAATAGTAAAAGGAAGGAAAAATGTTCATATGAGGTAAAAAGAAGAAGAAGAATATTGATAAGATAAAATATAATCCGCTCACCTCTTCATCTTCCAAAATGAAAATTTGGAATCTACATTTCTTGTCAAGACTTTCTCGTGGGCGTCCAATTTCCACAATTTGAATTTTGCAAATCGAATGTCGTGTTGCTAATTCTATTCGGTCGATGTTCAATCTTAGTACCATGTTTGTACGAAATATATTTAACCAAACAGTAGTATCTGCATGATAGCATGACTATTGAGTCAAAGTTCTTTCTTTTTTGTGGTTGCATGAATAAGGGAAATTAAATTAGGAACATGCAACAACATAATTTCCCTCCAGATAGTAAAAGTCAGAAAATGTAATGAAAATAGAATATGAATATTTGTAATGAAATTCGGAACATGCAAGAACATAATTATCCCTAACTTACTGAAAGATTAGAAAATATAATAAATAGCCCCAAATCTGTCTGCTAACTAATAAAATTGGAATTTTAAGTGAAAATAATAACTGTAATTTTGTCCCATTTTGGTTTCTTCCTTTGGTGAGAAGCAAAATTTGCAACAAAAATTGAAAATGGGAAGAGGGAAAACATGAAAAGAGGATCAAAATACCTGAGAAAGGGAGCAAAAGTTTTTCTTCAATGGAAGCGTAATAAATTTGTGTTGTATGAGTAATATATATAGGAGTAATATATATATATATAAGTACAACTGTCTTTCTCTTAAAAATTGATGGGGTTTTGGTAGGCAATGAAATTGTGCCAAAAAAAGAGACAAAATGATTACATTTGACACTGAAAAGCAAAATTTGAAGAGGCTTTGGTCTAATTATATAGTGATGTGTCTTGTGGAAATTTGATGGGTTTTGATAGCAAATGAAATTGTGCCAGAAAAGAGAATAAATTATTACATTTGACTGCACAATTTGAGCAGCGTTTGGAGAAAAAATTATTACACTTGACTGCACAATTTGAGCAGCCTTTGGTTGAAGTTTCTTTTTGAAGTCTATCTATTGTTATTCTTAAATAAACTATAAAATTTCAAATAGCAGCTAATGAAATATCAGGACCATTTTATATCACAATTTAAGTAACTGGAAAAGATATTTTTGATAGAGAAACTGAAATAAGTTTCCTATGATTTATCAAGGAAGTCAAATTCAAGATTCAATCTTGATAACAAAAGTTGATGAGTGTATGAATAGCTAATAATGTCTGAAATTGAAATAAACGTAGAAAGAAACAGTAATCATGAACGAAGAGGGTTCACAGAATAGTTATTTTTCCTCTTCGCAATAGAGAGTATGAATTATGAAGATTTCAAGTAACCTCATAGAAGATATAGAAATGAATCAAAACAAAAGAACTTAGAAACTTACCAGAAGTAGATTTGAAGCAGTCAAAGAAAATAAAATGGGAAAGAGTTTAAAGGAGATTCGAAGTGAGAGCTGTGGGGGTAAAAAGGACCATAGATGCAATCTGTACATCAAAGTTATATACATATTTATTTACATTTTCAAACATGCATAGGAAAATAATATACAGTTCATGATACCGAAAAATTACTGTAACTAAGGATTAGAGCAACATTGAAGAAACATAGAAGCAAATTAAATTGTACAAGCTTTTCTTTTTATAAAACACATGTATTGTAATGTTTTAAACCATGTGTACCTCTTTTTCTCTGCATAATACATGTGTATTATATTTACTCATCTAAACCTTATTACTGAAGTAGAACTGAACATTACTCTCTCTCAACGCCGGCGAAAGAGGATTAGAAATTTTTGCTTGTTCACATCCAACTTTTTTCTTCTCTTTGTATATTTGTTGTTTATTCTTCTCTTCTGATGATTATTGGCTGAATTATTGAAGGTATTTACTTATTATGGGGGAAATGTTACTTTCATTCTTGTGGATATGGTTTATTCTTGCATTTGACAAAACACTATCAAGTAGATCATTTAAATATTCTATGAAGCAGACCATGCACTTGAGCGACAAGAGAAAGGTATTGTCTTAGGGTTAAGGGAGAAGGACTGTGTGAGAATGTCTTAATGCTAATTGAAATACCAAAGAAATGTGAAAACAGAGTTAAAACACTATGAATGAAGAGATTATTTACTTGATCTGTTGTTTGCCTTCTCTCGGTCTCATCACAGCGTAGTAATTTAAGACAGTGAGCTTGCATCTGCCTATATGATCCTTACAAGATGCCTTGTTCAAAAAATTTAAAATGGGAAAAAACATATGAAATGACAAATGATGATTCCTTTATATCAACAGAATTATTCTGCAGTGTAGATGCATAAATGAACATACTTTCTTTATCTACCAAAAAGCACAGAGTTGAGAAGCTGTCAGCTCCCCTGCGTTTTAAACTATTGAAATACACTATCAAGCAGACCATACAGTTTAAACTGTTATATGATATATCATAACAACATTCTTCTGCTGAATGAACAATTCGTCTAATAATGACGGCTCTTAAAATGTCATCATTAGATTTTGATTACTCAAAAGAACATAGGATATTATTATCCTTTGTTTCATGAAGACCTGAACAAATTGGAAAGATGCGTGCTATATTGCAAGGACATAAGGAGCTTTTAGATTGTCAAAGTAGTGCAAATCTAGCAGGTAATCCTATTCCTACTTGAAATGGATTGTAGACACTGGAGCCTCAGATGACATGATACATAATCATGCGTATTTGCATCATAAGAAATAGTATCAGCAGACAGCAGACGTAAGTTTACTGTGGATGACATAATTGCTTTAGCGAAAAGAGGAAAAAAAAAGAACTTGCAATGAAATGCAAAAAATAGCAGTAGCACCTTAGACGCATTTGTTGTGGACAATGGATGGACCACAAATGTCGTACTCGGCCTTCAAAATCCATATCTGATTAAGTACAGTACATGTTTAAGTTAGGAAGAACCCAGTTGAAAATGTAGTTTAAAATGCAAGAGAAGATTTTTGCTTACTGAAAGGTGCTAAGTGAAGTGAGGATGGATAGTCACTGTACTTTGTCTCTGGTGTCATTATGAATTCCAGTATCCATTTGTGTCAGATCTGACCTACTACTTCTCTTTCACTTTCAGAGACATAATTGTTGTGTTTAGTAATAGGGCTGCGATGAGATCTCCAGAATTGTTGTGTTTAGTAATTGGGGCTGCGATGAGATCTCCAGAATTGTTGTGTTTAGTAATTGGGGCTGCGATGAGATCTCCAGAATTGTTGTGTTTAGTAATTGGGGCTGCGATGAGATCTCCAGAATTGTTGTGTTTAGTAATTGGGGCTGCGATGAGATCTCCAGAATTGTTGTGTTTAGTAATTGGGGCTGCGATGAGATCTCCAGAATTGTTGTGTTTAGTAATTGGGGCTGCGATGAGATCTCCAGAATTGTTGTGTTTAGTAATTGGGGCTGCGATGAGATCTCCAGAATTGTTGTGTTTAGTAATTGGGGCTGCGATGAGATCTCCAGAATTGTTGTGTTTAGTAATTGGGGCTGCGATGAGATCTCCAGAATTGTTGTGTTTAGTAATTGGGGCTGCGATGAGATCTCCAGAATTGTTGTGTTTAGTAATTGGGGCTGCGATGAGATCTCCAGAATTGTTGTGTTTAGTAATTGGGGCTGCGATGAGATCTCCAGAATTGTTGTGTTTAGTAATTGGGGCTGCGATGAGATCTCCAGAAATGTCATGTGCCACTCTGATATTAGTGATGTGTACCCTTCTTAGTGTTGACAGCAAAGCTGCAGCGAAAGTTTCGAAAGTCGAAGCATAGACAATTTGGGTAAGTAACGATGAGATATGTAAGCCTATGAAATAAGTTTAGTTAAATGTAGGAGAATCCCAAATTTGACGTATGAAGGAAAGAGGAAAGAGTCTATCTTACTTAAAAGTAAAAAAAAGGGAACTTTCTGGAGAAGTTAGATACCTATACTATGTAGAACATTTTGTTCAGTTCAAAACTCTGAAGCTTCACACTGGTCTACACACATGTTTCACAATCTAAAACCACTTTGATAGCTTTAAAATTCTGTGTTGGTGTACTTTATGCATGTTCTATAATGAGACGTCAATCCTACTGTAACAGCCTAACACTTGTATACAGAATGATTAAATCAAATTGACAAACCTAGCATCATGGTAGACATAGTCATTGAAAATGTTAAGGTAAAATCGCTCCTATTTCTTCAAATACTCATGTAACACCCTTGAGATTTTCATGCACTTTCCCTCTAGATAAAGCAAAGGAAGATTATTGCAACATGCGACACAAACAATGATTTTTACTTTCAGCTTGTCCATTCTTGTGCTTTCTTTAAGTTGACATAATTACACCCCTACTTCACATGTAAATATTACAACTTCTTAGTGCGTCGATTATAGGAATGCTCACTGTACATTATATCATATTTGTAAAGATTTGTAACTATGAAAAATGCACTTCGAGGAACAGAAGATCATGATAAGTGTGTTTTTTTCCATCTACTTCTTTTTATTTATTTACAACTTGGTAGTTGCTCCTTTACTCTATTTTTTCACATAAAATGGAACTGTAGAAAGTTGATATTAAAGAAATTAACAACTATTAGTTTTGCCAGTAGCTTACTAAAAGAGAATAACATGTGTTCTACAGTAACAATAAATATGGTGACTTGTTTTAGTTCTCATATGCAAATGGTTTTTTAAAAGCTCAGAAAGGTATATGGGTATGAAAAATTTCACATCACTAATATCATAGTGGCACATGACATTTGTGGAGATCTCATGACAGTCCCAATTACTAAACACTAAAATTGTGTGTGTGAAAGTGAAAGAGAAGTAGTAGCTGAGATGTGACGCAAATGGATACTGGAATTCATACTGCAGGGGAAAGGAAATCACTTATGAAGATGATAAACCTCACTAATCATAACAACATTACATAGAAGCCTCGTAGGCTCTCATAATTCTCAACAATAATACTAAGACAAAATATGGAATTTGAATGTAATCAACTAATATCATGAGGTTAAAGCTAAAGTTGTTTCAGGCAATCCAACAGAAAGTGCATATAAGCTTACTTGCATATCTGGAACGTTGAGGCAACAACAAAATTTGAATAACCAACATACCATCTTTGCTAGTTCATTCTATTTAGTTCCTATTGATGGATGTCACTACCGAGTGAGACTGCAGCATTGATCTGAGAAGCCAAAAATATTGTCTTTTTAGTATGAAAAATTTGGAAATGAGGAAGATATCTTCTGCTATTGGATAACATAAGCACATTGAAGATTGTGGTCTATGAGGGAAGAAGCAAATCTAAGTCACATTATATTTCAATCAATATTAATTCAAAAGGCAGGGTAAAGAACGAAATTTTAACTGTAGGTAGTTAAGAAGACTTGCCCTTTGTAGTTTTTGATGTATGAAGAGAACATACAGTTGCAACATAATATTGACCACACTATATCCAACAGAATAATAAACTACAGGAATTCATGCTCCTACATAATTTTTCAGCACTTAAATCACAATAGGTAGGATTGTAAATAAATGTTAATCATATTTATTGATTGCTAAATTGCCAAAAGTACAAAAAGTTAATTTCCTCATTTTCATAAGAAAGATTCAACCTCTTCATCAGGTACTTTTGGATGAACAAACTGGGAACCTGTTTGTCCTTTGATTTGAAAATTTCAATTTTCAACAGAGGACGTGCGATGATGCTTTCTTTAATTCCAAATTAACTTTTTTTTTAAATAGTCTAAGAGAAAACTGAATTAGCAAATGCCTGCCACAATTCATTTACCTGAAACCATAACTAATACATGGAGCAACAACTGTCAGAAGAACAGAAGAAACGGAAAGATAAAATATCCATTGTGCCGCCTGTTTATAGCAAGAAAATCAAACGTCACCAGTGGAATCCATAAAGTCACTCATGTCTAGCAATTAAACAAATTCCTAATGACCTCGACCAAAACATACACAATCTTTTTATTTTATTTTTAAAAAAAAGGAAGAGCAGAGTAACAAAGTACATCAAGAAAAACAGAATTGGATTTAACAGGTTACAACAGACTTCAAACTCGAGTCAAAACAAAGAGACCAGAGAAGATTAACGTCCACTCCTCTTGCCCGAATCCCAATCGAACCTAAGTTTATCCAAACCTCAACTATCCTATACAAAACGTCAAAGTTAAACTGTTGCATTGATATACAACTTAACACTTGTAAATGTCAATCATAAAAGGGAATCAAGCTACTGTCACAACCCGACTTAAGATAAGATGAGGATAATCCTAAATAAAGCCACATTAAGTCTCCAAATCACATGAAAGAACTTCTATCAGACATTAATCAAACGAAAAGTAAACTAAACAACTAATGTAAGGCAAATTCCTAACAAATTGTTTTGTCCATGATTGATGGATATGAACTTTATACCTATGATTATCACGAATTGAATTATAATCAAATCGAAGCAGAAATGAAAAAATCATACAAAATAATCTTATATATTTACGCATCAAAAAACGTCTGTCCATACACTATTACAAATTTAGAATTCTGATAACATGAAATGACAACAAAACAGTAATTAAATTAGTGTTTTAGGTGATGAGTAATAATAATAATTCTACCAATCTTACGGCTGAACGATTACAAGGTTAGTTTAGCAGATTGGTTAGACAATCATACAAATCATACAAAACAAAATTCAAAATTGAAGATTAGTCCACTGTCAGGCTTGTTTAGTATCTATTAATGTACAATTCTTTTTGCTCGTTGTACAACTAATTAATGCAGTCAAAAGTTAATGTACAAAATTGTATGCATGTTGTACAAGAGTATTACAATCATACAAAACAAAATTCAAAATCGAAGATTAGTCCACTGTCAGGCTTGTTTAGTATTCTCACCTTATCCGTAACACACTAACAGAATCTTCACAGGAAATTACCTGTCAGTAATTTGAATTTGAAAAGAGATTAGCATAGTCTTAAAACAAAATTTCTCTAGCTAGCATGACAGTAACATCAGTAAATACACAAAACAACATAACAAAGCAAAAATCCTAACGACGAAACCTCAACCATCTTATACAAAAGATAAAATTAAAGGGTTGCACTGATAACTCAACATTGTGAACCTTAATTATATAAAGGAATCAGGGTAAAAAAATGACCAGCTAAAGACGTAAGATAAAATGAGGGCTATCCTAAAGTAAAAGACACATAAAAGCTACTAAACAACTAATCTAAAGGCAAATTGGCTGATAAAGTAAACCAAACAACTAATGTAAAGGCAAATTACCTACTTATGAGCAAATGAGAAAAGTATACATAATGAACTTATATGTTTAGTCAGTTAAAAGCCTCGGTTGATACCTTTACATTAGTTGTTCAGTTGATCTAGAATAAAAAAGTAGAATCTTGAAGGAGAAATCTTCACCGATCTTAAAATCTGATATCTCAAAACAAAAGAATGGTGACAAATTCAACAGTCATTTGAGATGAGAAAGAAGCTCAACGAAGTAATGAAAAATAGAAACGATTGTGGTCCAACTTCATGTTCTTACAGAATTTAGCAAAAACATTACTACATATCATAAAACTCTGTTGAGGGTTAGAGGAGCAGCAGCTATTATAAGGGTTTAACATGTATTGCAATTTTTAACGTGAAATGACCAAAATGCCCGTTGGTCGGCAAGCTGGCAAGACAACCGAGAGGTGCTTGTGAAGCCGCTTATATATATACTAAAATGAAAATTAAAAGATTCAAACTTGGACAAATTGCTTACAAATTTCATGTGATCACAACTGTCAAAGTATGTTAATGAGATTGTGTGCAAATGGTTCATGAAAATTAACCATTAAAGCTATTATCACGTCAACAGCTTGGAAGCTATACAGAAACTACATAACATATCCAAAGATGAGGAGTCTCTATAGTGATGGACACAGAAACAAAATAGTGCAAAAAATTATTTACTATTAACGGTATATAAAATTTAAACTCAAAATATAAAGGTACATGGTGTAACCTTGTACTAATCATCTGGAGTGAGCTTTCATGAATCAATACAATTGATGATGGCAACATACCAACATCTTAACTGGCATTCCACACATTAATTAAGTCCAACATCAAATCTTGTTACCAACTTCCAGAAATAACAATTATATGTCCTGTTCTCTTTCGACTTTTCTCCTTCACGTAGAAAAAAGAAAGAGACATATGACCCATAAATAACAATCATATGTTTGGTTAGATTAGGATTATGAGATAGAATAAAAATTAGGAAGCAAGGACATTAAACTTTAAACAAAACATGGAACATGCCTTTTACAGCAGCTGCCCTCCCCTAATTTTATCTCAAACTGTGATCATTTAATACACCAGCCAAAATAAAAAGGTAAAACAAACATCAGTAATTGATAGGTGAGCAAAAACATTACTACATATCATAAAACTCTGTTGAGAGTTAGAGGAGCAACAACTATTGTAAGGGTTTAACATGTATTGCAATTTTTAACGTGAAATGACCAAAATGTCCGTTGGTCGGCAAGCTGGCAAGACAACCGAGAGATGCTTGTGAAGCCGCTTATATATATACTAAAATGAAAATTAAAAGATTCAAACTTGGACAAATTGCTTACAAATTTCATGTGATCACAACTGTCAAAGTATGTTAATGAGATTGTGTGCAAATGGTTCATGAAAATTAACCATTAAAGCTATTATCACGTCAACAGCTTGGAAGCTATACAGAAACTACATAACATATCCAAAGATGAGGAGTCTCTATAGTGATGGACACAGAAACAAAATAGTGCAAAAATTATTTACTATTAACGGTATATAAAATTTAAACTCAAAATATAAAGGTACATGGTGTAACCTTGTACTAATCATCTAGAGTGAGCTTTCATGAATCAATACAATTGATGATGGCAGCATACCAACATCTTAACTGCCATTCCACACATGAATTAAGTCCAACATCAAATGTTGTTACCAACTTCCATAAATAACGATTATATGTCCTGTTCTCTTTCGACTTTTCTCCTTCACGTAGAAAAAAGAAAGAGACATATGACCCATAAATAACAATCATATGTTTGGTTAGATTAGGATTATGAGATAGAATAAAAATTAGGAAGCAAGGACATTAAACTTTAAACAAAAGATGGAACATGCCTTTTACAGCAGCTGCCCTCCCCTAATTTTATCTCAAACTGTGATCATTTAATACACCAGTCAAAATAAAAAGGTAAAACAAACATCAGTAGTTGATAGGTATATTATCAAACACCCTTGGTGCACTAATGATACTGAGAATTTATTAGTAAAGATGAATGAGTAAAATAGAAGAATATATGTAAAATACAATAGAGATCAACAACCTGAAAGAACCATTTCAAAAAGGTTGATCCTGAATTAATTAAAAGGGCACACTATGTTACTTCACCTTACGTTACAATCCTTTTTTCTCTTCCTCTAGCCTCTTCTTTTAATATCAACACTCTGTTTTTTACTGTGTAAGAAAGTAAAATCAAGGATTGAAAGTATGATAAAATTTAGAGTATTTAAACTTGGAAGGCATTAGTAAGAGCTTAGACATTAACAATTCTTTAATAAAAAATATTGAGGTGGCTTATATATTGCAAATTATCCCTAAAATTCATAGGAAAGTTTCGTGAGGCCCTCGACATTTTAAGTATTTCTCAAGTGGTAACTTCTGAAAAGAAAAAGGAATTTTGCTGTACGAAGTCTTATTCTCGCAGGTTTTTTCTCTTATTTCAGTTACGTCATCGTTATTGAGTTCACTAACTATTGTTCTTGAACCAGTAAGGTTCAGTTGCCTTTAGAGATGAATAAGACTTTATTCAGCAGCAAGTTTCAAAGGATCTAAATATTGCTAATCTCTCTTTTCCAACCTCCAAACACTCTTGTTGAACAATTTAAAGGCTGAAATTAGTTCTAACAGACAAAAAGAAAATAACAAAAACATAAATTTTCAACCAAGACTAAATCTTTTTAGAATTTTAGACACCAAAACAATTTGTAAAAATGAAAATTTTCTTGCCAATCTCTCTTTTTCAACCTCTAAACACTGTAAAGCAAGGAGACAATAGCATTTACTACAAAATTCAAATAGCTGGACAGACAAATAAGTTTACTAAAGCTACTTGTTGTGTTCCTATACCAGATGTCATAACAATCAATATGAATCTATTTGGTTGTCTTTATATGTAGGTTGAGGTCAATATAATTATAACGTGATATTAAGAATATTATATAGATATTTAAAAAATAGGATTGTCTAAAATAAAGGTCAGGAATGGTCGTTATGCAACGTTTTTTTAATTTGGTGGTGTAGACTGACCTCTTACACCTTTTTTTGTTAATGTGGATGGTTCAAATTTCAACTTCTCATTTGAGAAATCAGATGCAATAGTTGTTTCCTGCTTCTCACCTCACTGATTCCTAGAGGCTTGATCTTTTTGGAATCCCTCTCAGTAGTGCTGGGCGTAAGAGTCTGTTCCTTTTGAACGTAGGAAAGAACTGACAAAGTTGTATGTGTGGTATTTGAGTTGCCCAAAGATGAGTTCCTTAGCTGAATTTGAAATAGTTTATTCTACAACATCTTATGGACATGGTTAACATGAAACAATTGCTTCTAAAAAGGTCATTTAGAGAATTTGTAGAAATAAGCATATATGCTAAACTGTTTCTAATCAAGACAGATGGTGTTGCAACAATAGACGTGTAGAAGTAGCTACCAGAAAAAACATGCAAAGTATTAATGATATATGTAAATAAAAGGTCACCTTAATGCAAGTTATGTCAAATATGTTTTCTGCTGTCACGAAGAATAATTTTTCTCCCAATACACCAGAAATGGATGTTGTGGCCAAAGCAGTGCCATCAATAAGATCAATTTCAAAGAGGCGCCTGAAACCGTGGAAAGTTTAATATTTGTGTATAATATATGCTATATTTTTCACGAAGTACAATTTACAAGAGAAAAAGATAGTATTGAGGCACTAACGTTGTCTTCCGATTACATTTTGGGTATTCAAAATCCTTTTTATCCTTTGTGCACTTCTTCTGTTTGCAGCATGAGCATTCACACACAGAAAACATTTGCAGCTCATTTGATATTGACATTCCTTTCCTCAACATAGAAGAGTTCCATCTGTCGGGAAAATTAAAATCACATATATAACACATACATATTGTATACATCAGTAATCACATACACAAAATGTCTGAAATTACTGTTGAATAAATTTAAGTTATTTCTTTGGTTTAGGCAAAGCTAGACAACCCGAGTCATGCACAAAATTATGGGTCACTCAAATACCCCCAAAAAATGAAACTCACAAGTAGAATAAGATAATCGAAAATAAATTTAAAAATATGAAGATATCATTAAGTCAAAATCAATAGAAGTTGAAGTTAGAACTCATACGTCTTTCATAAGTAAATTAAAAAAACCTAATTCAAGCAGCAAGACCTTGTTAAGTAAAATTAATCTATACACCAAAAATTAATAAGCATACTCTCAAATGATCAGCAGGCTTCACCCAATAAGATTAAAGTTCTCCAATGAAACATGGCCAGTGCATTTGGTAGCTAAATGTAGTGGTATATTAGCTTTTATCTGAAGAACTTAATTTATTAGTGAAGTGTTTTGTAAGTTGTTTTCGAATACTACAGTTGCAACTTTTATCCAATTATAGCCAACCTAAGAATCGAAAGAAAACCTAAGAATCGAAAGAATAATGGGAGAAACTACCATTATAGGTTCTCTTCAAGAGCGAAAATAACATAGAGTTTATGATAGCCAACCTAAGAATCGAAAGAAAACCTAAGAATCGAAAGAATAATGGGAGAAACTACCATTATAGGTTCTCTTCAAGAGCGAAAATAACATAGAGTTTATGATAGCCAACCTAAGAATCGAAAGAAAACCTAAGAATCGAAAGAATAATGGGAGAAACTACCATTATAGGTTCTCTTCAAGAGCTGGACACATTACCGAAAAATTGGGGAAGAAGGGAAAGCAAAACTTACTGTAACGAAGGATTAGAGCAAGATGGAAGAAACATTTGAGGGAAAACTGAGATCCAAAAACGATGATCCGGATTTGATGAAGAGCAAAAGGCAGCGATAGGAAAAATGTGGAGCAGGCAGTAGATAGCACGGATGAACAATGAAGAATGAAAGAAGGGCGAAAGTGGACAGTCATGTGAAAAATAAATTAGGGCAAAGTTAACATTAAAATTACCTATTTGCCCTTGTTCGTCCTTCCCGATAGTACAACTTAAATTACATGTGGAACAACTTTTTGGAGCTGTGTTGGTCCTTCACAACTCCCTCTTCTAAATAAGGGTAATAATATATATATATATATATATATAATGAATTATATAAATAGTTAAATTTTTACCAGAAGATAGTGTAAATGAGGATACACTTTGTTTTATTGAATTGAGTCCATACTGAGAATTATAGAGGAAAAAAAATTAGTATGGGTTTAGCCCAAAAGAAATAGTGTCAAACTATATCAAAAGAGACATTTTCACAAATATATAGCGCCACTTTGGTGCTGATTTACTAATTTCTGAAATTTGCGTTGTATATATTTCAGATACAATAATAATATTTTGTGTATTTGTTCGCTCAATTTAGTTGGATACACTGTATTTGTTCTCTCAATTTAGTTGCATCAGCACTTTTTTTCATTTCGAAAGATACAGTAATTTTACAACCAGTCACTCTTTATTAGATAGGGAAAATTGCGCGTATAAGCAAACATATACTAGTTAATTACTTAACATAGCTATAGTTTGCCTTAATTATAATATGTGACCTACTTTTAGCTATGATTACACGGCTCAACTTTTTAGTTTTGTATAATTCGGATTTGTATAATTTGTATAACTTTTGTATAATGTAATTTTATATAGTATAATTTGTATAATTGTTTACACTTTAGATGTTTGTAATTGTATAAATTCGTTATTTCGAGTTTATATAAAAATAACTTAATTATACAAATATACCTACAAACTATACAAACATATACAAACTCGCGAATTATACAAACGAGACAGCTTAAATTGTAGCTACAGCCCGTAAATATACAAACTATAGATAAGGAGCATAATTAAGTTAATTATAGTGGCTATTTGCGAAAGTTCCCTTAGATACAACATTCGTTTTGCGGAATTAACAAAAGTACTTAATTGATTGGATACACTTGCTCGATTTTTATTGGATACACTACTACTAGCCAAAAATAGTTTTAGATACAACATTCATATGGAAGGATTAACAAAGCACTAATTTGACTGCTTACACTTTCTCAATTTTGCAAAATAATAGATACAATCCAAAAGAATTCTTCATACAACTTCACAAAATCACTAGATTCCTACATACAATAACGATTTTAAAAAATTAAATACACACATATACAATTTAGCTACTCCTTTGAAAATCACAAAATACAAACAAGAAGCCAACAAAGCGGAGCAATGACTATCACAGACAAAATCAACTTAGGTCATCGGAAAAAAATGATGTAAATCCAAAGCAATAGCAATCAAGAGACACAATCACAAGGTAGAAGTTTTCTTTCCTTTATCTGAAACAAATTCGAATTCTCAACACAAATACTTAAACATTATATAATAAGATAGTCAAATTACAAGTTACAACGGCAACACTAAAACTCTTGAATTACAATGAAAATAACAAGTAACTAAGGATACATATAAGAATAGGATGAGCAGTTTAGACTCTAGAAAGAAGATGAGAGGAACATATAGTATCATCACAATATGCATAATTCTCCAAAACCGCGATGGCAACCATTTAAACTCTACTCAACCTGGATCCCAAGCAAAATTACTATTGGGCTGTGTAATCCTTGGGTCTCTTTGTGATTTATCCTCAGGCCCAATAGTTTGGCCAACCGTGTTCACAACATTATCCTTGTAACAACTTTGTTTGACCTCTCTTTTTCCAAAAATGTAAGATCTTTGAGGCTCCCCTTCGCCCTATTGTTCTTAGACGGATCTCTCACTCTTGATGAAAAGAATGTAATAAAGAAATTGAAGCAGTTGAAGCTTTCGTTGGAATAAATTCGAATGAGAATTAATGAAAGGAAACTTTCTCTTTTGGTCGTCTCATGACCTAAAATTTGGGATCGTGATGACACATATTCCAGTCCTATCGATCGTAAATCAACTTAACACTATAGTGTTTTGTCCAAGTAGAAAATGTGAAATTTAAAGTAAAACATGGGTAAGTCTAGAATTTGAATCATAACTTCAACATAAACGATGATATGTACAACCTCCAAGAACTGAAGACACAAATACAAGTGCGTCATTGATTTGAAACTATAAGGGGCGTTTGGTGTGATGGATAAGGAAAAATAATTATGGGATAAATTTTTAATACCCCTTAATTCTATGTTTGATTTCAAAGTGTGAGATAACTTATCCCACAATTAATAATTATGATTGAGATAAATTATCCCTACTTGTGGATGAAATACTAATCCCCGAATAACTTACTTCAGAATAAAAATGTAAAATAACAAATGTTGGTGTTTTTAAAAAAATGGGGCAGCAGATTGAAAGTGTCTGTCAATATTTTATTAAGCATAATAGGAGGGCTTTAAGTAGCCAACTTGATCACATAATCGCAGAAAATCTGCATAACAAAAATTTAAAAAGACTAAATAATCTCAACAATTAAAACGACCTAACAATTATTTAAAATTCAAATTCATCCTAAAACTAGGTAACTTATTATTTTAAAAAGGGTAAAGGGTCAAATATGCCCCTAAACTATTCGAAAAGGTCGAGATATACCCTCCGTTTAAAGTTTGGCTCACTCATGCCCTCGCCGTCCAACTTTTGGTCTAAATATGCCCTTATGGGCGTTAGTTGGCATGCTGTACATATTCAACTCTATTTTTCATTTCTTTAAATGCCACATGGAATTGCCATGTCATTTTGACTTTACCACATGACATTTATATGAAAATGGAAAGGGATCAATTATACCCCTAAAAAATTTGAACCCATAAACACCTAATCTGACCCATAAATCAACCCCCTTTTAAAATAAACTACCCAACCCGCTTTCAACAATTTTGTTTAAATTTTTATTTTTTTCGGTAAATCCCGAAAATGAGTAATTGATTAATAAAAAATAAGAAAAATATAAAATTAACCCCAAAAATTCACAAATAAATATTGTAACCTTAAATTCAAAAATTTCAACAATTTTTTTTAAAATTTTTTTTCCAGCAAATTCCGAAAATGAGTAATTTATTAAAAAAATAAAAATTAAAAAAAATGTTGAAATTTTTGAATTTAAGGTTACTATATTTATTTGTGAATTTTTGAAGTAAATTTTATATATTTTTTTCATATTTTTCCTTTTTTTATTAATAAATTACTCATTTT